GGACTCACAAATACCTAAGCCAAAACTGTATATGCTAATTTGGGGGATTCTGGGAGCTGAAGTCCACACATCATAAAGTTGTCAGGTTTGAGAAGTACTGATTAATGTAATGGACAATATCAGCCAACTTCTCAGTTAGTCTAACCCAGTGGTTCCCAAAGTCGGCAACTTTAAGACTTGTGGACTTCAACTCCCAGAATTCTCCAGCCATTCTTAAGCCACAAGTCTTAAAGTTGCCGACTTTGGGAACCACTGGGTTAGACTAACTGAGAAGTTGGCTGATATTGTCCATTACATTAATCAGTACTTCTCAAACCTGACAACTTTATGATGTGTGGACTTCAGCTCCCAGAATCCCCCAAATTAGCATATACAGTTTTGGCTTAGGTATTTGTGAGTCCAGCTGCTGTGGCTTAATCAGGTGAAGCAACACAATTCCAGACTAAAGAAGAGAAGCACAACAACAGGAACAATATTTATTGAACTTGTATGCTACCCGACTCTCAACATTTGAAAGGGGAGGGGAGGATGGGGAGGGGAGCTGGAGGTTACTAGGAGGAAACAGCTCCCATCCCTTATCTATAAAAAAAACCCTCCAAAGCAACCCCAAATCTCCCATATTGGCTTCTGCAGATGGCTTCAGGCATGAGAATGCTGACAATTCCTTCCTTTTTAATGTGGGGGGTGGGTACCAATAGATCTGGCTAGACCCAAGCAGTTTTGGGGAAGGTGTTCTGAACTGCCAGCCCCTGGCAGTGAGTTTTGTAATACCAGGCTTTTTCTTGGAGGACAAATGGAGGATTTGGCTAGATTTTGCAACCGAGGAATTAGATTAACTTGGTGCAATGAAGTCTCTTCTCTTTGAAACCACTTCTGATACATTAACTGATAGATTAGCAGATCCTTTCCTTGGTATTCCTACCAAGTACTACCACCTTAAGTGCAGTTATCACCGTAAAATGGGTGGTGGGAAGCGGGGGTGTCAAAAAGCCACAATGTATATGCTAAAATATTCAGGCACTGTCACTTTAAATTAAAGGCTTGCTTCTATGTCGTATTGCAAGATTTTTTTTTTATACAAACGGCATTTGCATCCATAGAAACATCCTGAGTGTGAGCCAATCGCACAGTTCTACATCCTATCTTCTCCCTACGCATTCCAGATTTCCTGCAGAGGACTTGGTGAGCACTGGAGCAGATACATGCGATGGGATGGTGTCTACACGAAGAGCAGGACATGATATTGTCTCTGCAACAAAATGCAGATGTTGGAATAAACACATGCACTTGCACCAGCCATTGGCTGGAAGGAATAAGAACGGAAGCCTTCTTCTCCGTTTTCTACTTTTCAGTTCCCTCACGTGAGAAATGTCCCATCTTTCAGGCAATTGGTGGGCTTGGCAGGTGTTGTGCGCAACCCATACTTAACCAGGAGAAGGAAATATCTGGTGAAACCCCAAATATGGAATTAGATACCCAGCAGAGAGTTTAAATTATTTTTTAATTTACTACAAGACTTTACAGATCATTGCAAAATCCCTAATTTTAATCACCAAATTTTTGATTTTTTAATATAGACTTTGCATGCAGCAGTCCTCAGGCTCAGGTTCAGCTTAATAATTTCAAAGCTGAGAAAGATAAAATCAGATTTGGTGACATCTGATTACTAAAAGATGACTATGCTGATCAATGTATTCACAAGGAGGGAGACATGTCCCTTTTTTGTATTAGACTAAAGTATACGAATGTTTGCTGTAATCATGCAATGTTACAGAAGTTATTGCGACATGATACAGAATATCTGGAATTATTAAAATTATGAACTCTATCATTTGTACTACATCCTTTCCAAATTGTATTAAACAATGTGGTGCCATTCCAAATGGAAGAACATTTTATAACCTATGGCTAACCTTTTCATCCTCGCGTGCTGAAACCGTGCACACATGCATGTGTGCCCTTCCACACACATAATGCAATGTGTGTGCGCATCCCATGCACCTCGCTGCCCTGCACAAGCATGGGCAATACACCCACACCCTGTTTTGTGCCTAACAGGCCTCCCTGAAGTGTCCTGGGACCAAAAATGGGGCATGTGGGGACGCTCTGTACTCCTTGTGTTCCCCAGCCCCTGTGCATGCATGCGTAACTTCTCTGCCCCCCCTCCATGCATGCATGGCAGAGAACCTGAAAATTAGCTAGCTGGTGGGAGGTGCTTGCACGCATGCGCAGTGGAGTTGAGCTGGGCGATAGCTTGCGTGCCCACAGAGAGGGCTCTGCAAGCCACTTGTGGCATGGGTGACATAGGTTCACCATCACAGACCTATAGAGTTTATTGGTCAATGATAGAAATAGAAATGACAGAAATCATCTGCCTGCCTACGTAAGTTTATTTTGGTAGAAAACTTGCCACGTTGTATGATCTAATCCAGTGTTTCTCAACCTTGGCAACTTGAAGATGTCCGGACTTCAACTCCCAGAATTCCCCAGCCAGCGAATGCTGGCTGGGGAATTCTGGGAGTTGAAGTC